GAGATGGAAATAACATTTCCTGTTTGCCAAGACCCACTAACACATTTATCTCCCTTCAAGGCTGCTCACAGACTGAGATAAATAACCTGAGATATAGCCCAAGTTCAAATTATTTTCTCTCTGGAAGGTTTTCCACATAAAATCTTCTTGAGTGTCCTAGAAAAAAGGCAACTGCTAGTGAGAATTTATGAGAGATTTTTCCTGTCAGGAAAGGACACTGAGGAATTACCAGGAAGTCTGTGAATCTGTCAGTTACACAAAGCTCAGAAGTTCCTGAGTCATTGTTCCCTGCTATCTCTAACAAATACAACATATCATCTCTTCCATAAAATGAGCAAGTCTCCATTCTGCAATTTGCTTCCAACATCTAATAAAGACTCGTTCTTCATCTCCACTCCTTTAATGATTAAAATCCTTAACTGTGAATATTTTTTCCCCTTTCCTTTTCTGACATTTCTGAAGAGCTCTTAACCTTAAGTTTAAGGAAACTGTACCTTTACACTCTTCTTTTCCTCTGAACCTTCAGTCAGCAGGAAAGCCTCATGTCCATCTGTCCCTTCCACACGCAAGAAGCAGTTAGTGGTGTGTCCAATTCCTGAAGGGAGCACCTTGTCCCACAGCATGGCATTTATCACAGTGCTCTTCCCATTGCTTGTCCTGCAGTCACATTAAGGACAGGGTTTCAGGCCTCCAAGAGCCAGGTGAGCTCATTTTGATGTTGCAAAAGCAATTTCTCTACAGCCAAGCTGTATCAGAGCCATTAACAATTTAGGTGCCACAGGCAAAAAGACTTTTTTATTTCCCTATTTAAAGAATTCTTCAAATTGAAGAATTATGTGATACAATATTTGTTTCCAATTTACAAGAGCACCTGTATCACGGACATTACAAGCAAAAGCTAAAGCACCAGTGTTTATATAAATATTTTTTACTGGCTGCAATACTCAAATGCTTTACTGAATGGGCAGCAAAGGCAACACAAGCATGTGACTCACCTCCCAAAAAAAGCAACTTTCATGTGTCGTCTTGCCAACACTTCACTGATACCACTGACTTTTGACAGGTAGCCTTTGACTTCCAGTACCTGCTCTTCTGTGGTGACAGGATCAAGCTCTGCATTCTTGTGTGTCTCTAAAATCAAAATAGATCATGTCTCTGAATGCCAGAAGCCATCTGGGTCAGACTGGGTGAAACCCCTCTCTGGGATGGTACCACTTAACATTTATCTGTGTCCCACAGCTTTCATGGGTGTTCCTGACACAGGCAATGACACCCTGAAGCAATTTTACAGTAGCATTTATCCAACTGACTCTTTTGTGTATCTCGTAACTGTTCATGGCCTTGAACAGAACAGCCTAGAGTGCAAACAGACCAGCACCCTTAGAGATAAAATCTGTCTGTGCCTTAAGCTATAAAAGGCCAGCACCCTTAGAGATAAAATCTGTCTGTGCCTTAAGCTGTTAAAGCCAATTACTGGTGTTTGTTACATGTCAGTGGCAATGATGTGTCCAGGCAAGAATAGTGAAAGGATTACAGGCAAAAAATATCTGCTGGGGTTGTGTAATTAATTAAAAATCTCCCAAACATAAAAATTAAGTATAGCCCCCTAACTAGCTCCGTTTCTTAACATGCACATGAACTTGAACTCTACCCAAATTCAACAAAATAATTTTTGCTTTTTCTTCCAAACATGAATGCACAAACAGACATGCATGTATAAATAAACACAGATTTAGCAGTGCTGTTTAACTGACTGAGGGGGCTGGTGTGTGTTTTGGGGAAATAATAAGTAGGTAGAGCTTTGTTACACACTCACAGTCCAAGAACTCAAATTACCTTCTAGGAATGAGGAGCTCTCGTTGATGTATGCAGCCAACTGTTCAAAGATACCATTGATTTTCTTCTTTGCAGTGACAAAATGTTTAAGTGGAGAAGCATTTACCTCAGCCATGTGTCTTTTATCCTTCTTCACTGCAACTATTGAGTTGGAACGAGTAAACAGCAGGGACATTGCGCTACAGGGAAAATCCAGCAAAGAGCAGTGTCACCAAGTGTCACCACCTGTCCAAAGAGTGACAGGACAAAGGGGAAAGGCTTTCCATGTACAGAGGGCAGGGTTAGGTGGGATATTGGGAAGAAATTCCTCCCTGTGAGGATGGTGAGCCCCTGGCAGAGGTTTCACAGAGAGGCTGTGGCTGCCCCATCCCTGGAAGTGCTCAAGGCCAGGCTGGACAGGACGTGATCCACCCTCTGTGCCAGAACATGTCTCTGCCCATAGCAGGGGGTGGACATGGATAATCTTTAAGGTCCCTTCCAACCCAAACCATTCCATGACTCTGTGATGCAACCAAGCATCTTTACAAGAACTAGATAAATATGCATTTTAAGGATTATCTTCTCTCTTTCATAAAGAAATTGTTCCACTTCATCAGGAAAAAAAACCCAAAACTCTTTCTTTTTCCCTTTCAACAAACAGGCTCACAGCCACCACTCCTCCCCATCCTCTGCTTACTTTCAGGATGAGTTACGTTCTCACAAGTCACGCATGGCCAGCTTGAGGCCCTCTCGAAGACAAACGACAGCAGCTTTCCCTGCCTTCTCCCTCGCCCCGGCCGCACTCGGTCCCGCAGCTCCTTCAGCGACGCCGAGCCCAGCCGGTCTCCACCCCTGTGGCAGAGTGAGTGAGGATGACGGACAGAGGGCACCGAGCTCCGCCATCCCGGTGTGCCCGGAGAATGTCCCCGGCTCTGCTCCCCCGCCAGCCCTGTGCGCCTGGAGAATGCTCCCGGCTCCATTCCCTCACCATCCCGGTGTGCCTCAGGGATGCTCTGGGCTCTGCTGCTCCGCCATCGCGGTGTGCCCGGAGAGTGTCCCCGGCTCTTCCCCCGCCATCCCGGTGTGCCTGGACAATGTCCCCGGCTCTGCTCCCCCTCCATCCCGGTGCCCGGAGAATGCCCGGGCTCTGTTTCCCTGCCAGCCCTGTGCGCCTCAGGAATGCCCCCGGCTCTACTCCCCCCGCCATCCCTGTGTGCCTGGACAATGTCCCTGGTTCTGCTCCCCTGCCATCCTGTGTGCCTCAGGAATGCCCCCAGCTCCATTCCCTCACCATCCCTGTGTGCCTCAGGAATGCCCCCAGCTCCATTCCCTCACCATCCCGATGTGCCTCAGGAATGCTCTGGGCCCTGCTCCCTGCCATCCCGGTGTGCCTCAGGGATGCTCTGGGCCCTGCTGCCCCGCTATCCCGGTGCCCGCAGAACGCCTTGGGTTGACGCCCCAGCCGGACGCCGCCTCCCCTCAGCCCTCAGGGGCGGGAGAAACGGGCGGGAAGTGCCCCCCTCGCGCCCCCTCAGAACCCTGCCCCAGCGGGTCCAACACTCACTCGTCCCTGCCCTTATCCCTGTCCCTATCCCCGCTTCTCCAGAGACGGCCCTCGGAGAGTTTGGGCCGGCCTGGAGCAGCTGTCGGGTCCCCTCGGCCCGGCCCCGCCCGTGGCTCACCTTCACCGCCGCTCCCGCACGGCCGCCATGTCACCCCGCGGCGCCGTCGCCCGGGCGGTGCGGAGAGGGGTTTGCGTCATCGCGGCGCGCCGGGCGCGGGGCACGCTGGGAGTTGTAGTTCCGGGCCTGATGGCGGGCGGCGGCCCGGACCCAGCTGAGGAACAGAGCCCACAGACCGGGAAAGGGTCACGGGAAAGGTTTAATGAGAGAACTCGTGCTCAAACCGTACAGCTCGTTATCGCCACCACCGAACCGGCCCGAGGAAACACACAACAAAGTAACAACAACAAAAACAAACAAACAAAAAAAACCACCCAAAAAACAAAAAAAAACCCCCAAAACAAACAAAAAAACCCCCAAAACCCCAAAAACCACATCCCAAAAATAAAAATAAAACAAAAAACAACAACAAAAAACCCAAACAAAACAAACAATCCAAAAAACCCAAAACAAACACCCAGGAAAAAAAACCACAAAAAATCCCCAAAACCAAAGCACTGAAAAAAAAAAAAAAAAAAACAAAACCCAAAAAACCCAAGAACAACAAAAAAACCCCCGAAAAAATCAACAAAAAACAAAGCAAAAAACCCACAAAAACAAAAAACCACCCCCAAAACAAAAAAAACGAACAAACAAACAAAAAAAAAAAAACCAAAAACCACCCCCGAAAAAACCAAACCAAAAAAAAAAAAAACAACAAAAATAAACTACAAAAAAAAACCCCCAAGCTAAACAAAACAAGCTGCTGCAGAATAAATACATAATACACATTTTGGACATCTCTGACATGCTGATCAATCATTTGGTTACAGGCAGTTCTGCATTTCACGTAACACGACTTTAAGTACAATTTTACTTCTCAAATGCTTGCCCCTGCCTGGATTTTTCTCTCCTGGGCACAGGTGAGTGTATGGCCTCAAAACAGACCTAAAAAGCTCAAGGAAAGCAGCTGGGAAATCTGTCTGTCCCCTTCCATGTCTGAAGCTGTTCTGCCCCATTAGAGTGACCCATCCCAGAAGAAGGGCTCTACTCTGATAATCAGGCAGCAGAAGCTGGAGACACACAACTAAAAGGCACATAATTTTTTTTTTTTCCCTAAGGACAATCACTGTATGAATTTATTGCTTGTGAAACACACTATTCTGGCATAATGGTGTCTGATAAGCAGAGCAGGTATCCCACAGGCACAGGCAGAAAAGGGTTCTGCCCCTTCACTCTCTAACCACAGGTCTAGTGTAGATATATTTTTATAACTACTGGCTCACCCCAATCTCTCAGCACTTCCCAAGCACTCATTTCTATCAGCCTTGACCCCATTGGAGAAGCTTCTGCAATGGAGTGTTTTGGTTTTCAATCTCAAATAATAAAAACACTGAATAATTATTTCCTCTAAGAACCAGAGAGCAGCTCTTTCCATCTCAAGTGAACGGACCATCAAAGAAAATTACTAAAACAATCTTTGACAAAAAAAAAATGGAATGAGGCCACCAAAGATCTCTGGGTTATTATCTGGAGACTGATCAGAGCTTTTGGCTATTGTAACATGGTATAGAACAGAAAATTCTGAGAGAAGCCCCCCTGACTGATGGAGCTGTTCCCAGCCTTCCTTTTCTTACATTTAATCTACATATTGATATGACACGAATTTATGTGGGTATGCCTGCTGCTCTTAGCTGGAGAAACAGAAGGTAGGGGAGGTTTTTTTATCTCTTCAGTCCAACCCAGAGGTAAAGCACCATCAGAGGACCTTCCCTTAGCTAACCAGAAGCACCTATGTTGCCACATTGAACTTTGTGATTTGCTTGCAAGGACAGCAAAGAGGTAAGGAATCAGATGATCTTCAGGCTCTTCCAACTCAGCTTCATTTGGTGTAACTGCTATGACTCCTGGAGTCAGCTCCCTGATTGGTTTATATTTGGAATAATGTCCAGGAATTATTGTGTAACATCCAGTCCTGTGTATGTTGTGGATGAAATCAGGTTTCCAGCTTGTAACTTGCCTCCAAAAAGCTGGATTTCCGTTCCAAAAAACCATTTTTTAAAGCCAATGAATCACTGATGAAAGTTCAAGTAAACAGCACTTTCAAGAAACAGTGGATGAGGAGCAGAATCAAAAATGAAGGCACAAAATCTCCTTTGGACTTCTACAGCAATATTCCTAGATATTACCTGCAGTATCAGAGAGTGGAGTCCTCCAGCAGCGGAGTCTTAGAATATCATTAAAAATCACATTAAAAATCATATAAAAATCGAATCCAAATATCTCTGAACAACGCCTCAGGAATTTTCAGCAACATTCCCTGTTTCTACTCAAAGTCAGCGGTGAGCAGGGCCAGGGCCAGGGCAGCAGAGCCCTAGGGGTCGAGGAAGGACACGGCGATGTAGCGGGTGCCCCTGGTGGTGGGCAGCCCCTCGTGGTAGTGCGTCAGGCGGCCGGGGTGCATCAGGCTCCAGCCCTTCCTCGGGGCTCGGATGGAGCAGTTGTAGCGCAGGAAGCGGCAGCCTCCGCCCTGGGGGACACAAGGGACAGTCAGAGACACATCTGCCTCCACCAGAGACACATCAGTGTCCTTCCTGGTGGGACACCAGAGACACATCAGCCTCCACAAGGGACACATCAGCCTCCACCCCGGGGGCACACATGAACCTCCACAAGGGACACCAGAGACACATCAGCCTCTGCCCTGGGGGACACAAGGGACAGTCAGAGACACATCAGCCTCCACCAGAGACACATCGGTGTCCTTCCTGGTGGGACACTAGAGACACATCAGCCTCCACAAGGGACATAAGGGACACATGAACCTCTACAAGGGACACCAGAGACACAGCCTCTGCCCTGGGGGACACAAGGGACACATGAACCTCCACAAGGGACACAAGGGACAGTCAGAGACACATCAGCCTCCACCAGAGACACATCAGTGTCCTCTCTGGGGGGAACATGAGACACATCAGCCTCCGCCCTGGGGGACACAAGGGACACATCCAGAGACCCATCAGCCTCCACCAGGGACACAAGGGACACATGAACCTCCACAAGGGACACCAGAGACACAGCCTCTGCCCTGGGGGGGACACAAGGGACAGTCAGAGACACGTCAGCCTCCGCCCTGGGGGACACAAGGGACACGTGAACCTCCACCAGAGACACATCAGCCTCCTCCCTGGGGGGACACAAGGGACACATCAGGCTCCAGTAGAGACACAGCAGCCTCCTCCCTGGTGGGAACACAACTGACACATCAGCCTCCTCACTGGGGGGAACATGAGACACATCAGACTCCTCCTCCCTGGGGGGACACAAGAGACACATGAACCTCCACAATGGACACATGAGCCTCCACAAGGGACACATCAGCCTCCTCCCTGGTGAGACACAACTGACATGAGCCTCCTGCCTGGGGGGACATAAGAGACACATCAGCCTCCTCCCTGGGGGGACAAAACTGCCACATCAGCCTCCACAAAAGACACATCAGCTTCTTCCCTGGTGGGACACAAGAGACACATCAGCCTCCTCCCTGGTGGGAACACCAGAGACACATCAGCCTCCACGAGAGAACATTAGCCTCCGCAAGAGACACATCAGTCTCCTCCCTGGGGGAACATGAGACACATCAGCTTGGAAAAAGCACCCCAGGGAAGGTGCTTAAAAGTCTCCTGCCATGAAGTATCGCCCTCTTTTTTCCAGGTTGGTGGGGGGGTCACCTGGATGATCTGGTGTCTCCTATCACGGAAATAAAATAGGACTTTGTCCCCATATGGAGAAGAGTGCTTCTTGTGTGGGCTGGGGTCCATAGCAAGCTGGATTGGACCCAAACAGCATCCTATGAATTCTTACAGCCATTAATTGTAATACTTAGTGTAAAGAAGGCTGATGTGGATCAGGGAAGGGTTTGTGTGCAGCCTGATGTGCACCAGGGCAGGGTTTTCAGCTGCTGCAGGTGCTGTGCTGCACTCCTGAAGCCCTGGCAGGCACTCACCTCGTAGTCAATGCCCACCCTGTTCAAGGCAATGTTGATGGTGAAGGTGGAGGCGTCGTGGTGGGGCACCAGGGATGGCTGCTCGTCAGGTTTGTAGCGAACCACAAAGGCCAGCTCAAACTGGGTCTGAGAGAGAAGGACAAAGAGCTCTCTGTTAAAGGGCTGCAGTGGTTTGTGGCTTCTGAGCTGCAGAGCAGGGGGTGACACTGAAACTGCATCCACTGCTAAAGGAGGAAGGCAATTTCTCAATGACATTCTTCTGCCTGATTTTTTTGCCTATCTCCTAATGCACATACTTGGGTCACACTGCAGGGTCAATTCCTCTGTGTTGGGAAATAATGTGTGTATTCCTGGAGGATTCTTGCCACAAAGCTGCAGCTGCAGGAGCTGAGCATGAGTTTTGCTGTTAAGGTGGACATACTGTGGCCTCAGCTCTCTTTACAGAGAGCAGCAAGCACAAGCTTTCCCAAGGATTTTTCCTGGGAAAGCACTGAGAAGCACAGAGAGGAGAAGAGAAAACAATTCTTATCTCTATTCACTACTCCTATTGTTTTTGCACATGTGCAATTGTGTTAGGAAGATTGTTTACCTGAAGGGATCTGGTAATTGGATTCTGGTGATGATTGTTTATATTAATTGGCCTATTAGGTCCAAGCTGTGTCCTGACTGTCTGGAGACAGTCACAGGTTTTTCTTTAGTATCCTTTTAGTATCTCTTTAGTATACTATCTCTCTAATATAGTATAGTATATGTATATATTTAATATATATATACTTGATAGTATATGTATATATACTATTAAGTATAAATACTTAATATATATGTAAGTATAGTATATCTATATAGTAATATATAGTATATATATACTATATATACTTAGTGTATATATATATAGTATATATATACTATATATATTATATAGTATATGTATATATAGTATATATATACTATATACTGTGTGTGTGTGTGTATATATATATATAATATGTATACATTTAATATAGTATAGTATAATGTAATATAATATACTTTTAATAAAGCAGTTGTTCAGCATTCTGAATCAATGATGGAGTGAGCTGCCAATCATTCCCAGATGCTGGGGTTGTCCTGCATACAACAGACATACCTTGGTGTAGTATCCTGGGTACAGCTTCTCTGTGATGGGTGCAATATAGTCCAGAAGAAACTTATACCACTCTCTTTCAAAGCCTATTTGGTTCATGTGTATGTCAATAGTTGGGACATTCTCATATCCTCCTTGTATTCTGCTGTCCTGAAATAGAATCAGCACAAATACCTGTAAAGATGGCAACCTTGGAGTTCAGGAAGGAAAAGTACTTGTTCCTGGTAACTACAATAAATATGGTGTTTGTTTATCAGAATTTGCAGGATGGAAAGCTCATTTCAAACCATAATTAAACCCTAAGGGAAGCAATATTACCATCAGAGAGGCTGAACACTGGAACTTCAGAGGACACTAAAGACGACTCAAGGAAAAATCAGAGTTAGTCAGGAGCAAAATAAAGTATCATCTGTACTTTTCTGGTTTAATTCAGGATCTAATGCCTTCCCACAGGAGGCACTGCTATCACCAGAAATGCACAGAAAATGGTGTAGCCCAGAACTCAAAGGAGATCCTGCTTTTACTTACTGTGTTGTCACCTGTGGACCACTGGCCATAATGTTCCATTTCTTCCACCAGCTCATCACAGGCAGTGTCAGTGAAGATGGGGAACCAGTAAACATCTGGGCAGGGCTGCAGACAGCAGACAGGTGAGAACAGCAGAAACAAGGACAAAAGAAGTTTAAGGCAAAAGAAGTAAGGCTAAAGGAGGAAGTGGAAGGAAACTAAAATATTGAGGATAGAAATTTGTCTTATGATTTATGTGCCCCACTCCCACTTAGTAGAGCCAGAATGATTTGGCTCTAAAAGTATTTCAAGGCCATGTTTTCTATGTTCAACTGCTTATTCCTGAGAATTACAATTATGATGATAAAGCATTGTCCTAAAGTTCATTTCCCATTCTGATGGATAAGAGTGATGTTTTCTTACCATTTCTACCAATTTCCCTTTCAGAGCTGCTGTGTAGTTTTCATGGATGTACTTTTCTCTCCAATCCTGCAATTAGAAGATAAGCAAACCAGTAATTTCTGTGAGGCTCCTGCTTAAAAAGGTAATAAAAGGCCAGGCACTCATGCAAGCAGTATTTCACAGGCTTTGATCCATGTGTTATAAGTCCCAAAATTTTCTCTTCAAACTTTGTGCCTGTGCTCCTCAGCCCACCTGAGAGTCACCATTATTACAAAGCCTGGGCTTCCCACAGTGATGAAACTAATATCAGATTTTCCCACATTGCTGTGCCTTCTGAATGTGCCGGTTATCTCACCTCAGGATTGCTGAATATTTGCCAGAGGTCGTTGTGGAGGTGACTTGTCTGGTAATTCTCCAGGGACAGTATGTGCCCAAACTGATGCTGGTTTGTCAGGTACATAAAGACTCCCTGCAGGATGGAAAGAAATAATAAAGGCCTCACATTTCTGAGAGCCACTGTCAAACCAAGCACTGTTAATTAACTCATTCTTTCTCCTATGTGCTTTGAGTTTTATTTGCACCCTGGATATGACAAACTCTGAAGGGTTACAGAGACAGTAATTCTGCGTCCTGTCAGCCAGGCAGCTGTGAGATTAGGGTCTTCCTTCCTACCCTCTCAATCCCATTTAGGGCAGTCCTGAAAAGGCCTAAGAACCAAAATGTTATCCACATTTAGTGGTCCATGGCTTCAAATGGTTTCACAGTAAGACAGAAATGCCAAGCTGTTCCAAAGTCTGCACTGTACTGACTAGTAAGTTATTTATGCTTAGTGGTCCATGGCTACACAAGGTTTCACAGCAAGACAGAAATGCCATGCTGTTCCAAAATCTGCACTGAACTGACTAGTAAGAGTTATTTACATTTAGTGGTCCATGGCTACACATCATTTCACAGAAATCCCAATCTGTTCCAAAGTCTGCACTGTACTGACCAGTACGAGTTATTTGCATTTAGCGGTCCATGGTTACACATCATTTCACAGCAAGACAGAAATCCCAAACTATTCCAAAATCTGCACTGCACTGACTAGTACCAGTTATTTACATTTAGTGGTCCATGGTTACACATCATTTCACAACAAGACAGAAATCCCAAACTATTCCAAAGTCTGCACTGTACTGACTAGTACCAGTTATTTACATTTAGTGGTCCACGGCTACCCATCATTTCACAGCAAGACAGAAATGCCATGCTGTTTTAAAGTCTGCACTGTACTGACTGGTACGAGTTCACCCTCTCCCTGCCCTGGCAGAGCTGAATGCCTTGAAACTGCTTAATCCTGTCCCCTTGAGGCTGGCAGGCAGCTCTCCCCTGGCAGGCTGTCTCCTGGACTGACCTGGCTGCGAATGTTGTGGCACAGAGCCATGTCAGCATCCAGCTTGCCACTGTGGAACAGATCCCCCTGCTCCAGCTCCGAGCGCAGAGCCCTGCCTTTAACCATGTAAACACTGCTGATGTAGGGAACGTTCCAGAGCCCACTGAAACACAGCAGAAAAAAGTGAGATAGCACTAAGGATGACAGGCAGCACTGCAGCATCAGCCAGGCTTGCCTAAATGAGCCAGCTCAGAACAGTAGGAAGAAATCCATACCAACAGAGATTGGCATTCCAGAAATAAAATCACTTATATTGCAGCTTTTAAGCTGCACCAATTCTAGTACATCAGGAAAGCAATTAATTGCTACTGTGTGTTTTTGCTAGGGATGTAATTAGTGGCTTGAATCTCTTCCCAGAGAGATCAACATATTTTTTGCAGTGATTTAAAGAAACTGAACCAGCCAAAAGTGCATAAGCTGATTTCCAGCATTTACTGGCCTATGAAATAGAGGGTCTCTCTTTTTTATAGGTCAGTAAATAAAAACAATTTATACTGGTCTATAAAAAAGAGGGTCTCTCAAGAATATGAATGAATCAACAACTCAATTTTGTGAATTTTCCATTCAAAGATCACCTGAAAATTGATCTGACAGAGATTAAACAGCACTTTATAGGATTTTAAGAATCACACTAACTATAATTCCCAGGTGGGAAAACATGTCATGAGTAAGATGAGATGATTTCAGCAGTCAGCACTCTCAAACCTTTACTCTGATCATAAGTCTGCCCCAAGTATGTTATTGTCTCTGCTCAGGGGAGAATATAAAGCAACTTCCAAATGGGAGCAGAGACTTCTTTTCCTTTCCTATACACAAAGACGTTTGCACTCTCTGGTTCTTGGACATTAGCTTGATGACAATGTGCTGCAGGAAACTTTACATTTGAGGGATTTTATCACTGAAAAGCTCTCTGCACACTCACACCCTCCTCCTTTGAACAATATCCACATAATCCTCCGAGCGGGCGTAGTATCCATCGGGGCTCAGGGCTCCCCAGAAATTGGACCACAGCTTCTCATGACGGCTTACCAGGGGGGCAATCACCAGCCTGGAGGCATGAAGGAAAAAGGAATTGCAGGACAGGATGTTACCACAGGAAGAAAAGGAAAATATTTACAAACCACAGTACTGTAAGAGATGTTTCCTTCCTCACTTACAGAGCTGCTGTTTTGTTAACTCTGTTGGAATGAAATGCCACGTAAGAAAGGGTAAATATGGTCCCAATCTCTCCTCTAACTACACCAGGTCTGTTAGAATCCAATTTTTTCTAGTGACTATATAAAAAGAAAGCTAAGGATGATTTACATCCCCTGCCTAAAATCCAGGGATTACAAGTACAGTGGAAAAAAAAACCAAAACCAACACATAAGAAGTATTTGGCTAACATCTCTGGCACAGCTCTGCTCTCCTGGTTCCTTAAACATCTCAGGGATGTGCAATGAATTCCTCACGTGAGATGAGCAGTAAACATTGCTCAGAGCAAAGAACTCACTTGTTCTGTTCAATCAGGATCCTCAGAGTCTCTTTGTTCTTCAGAACCACCTCAGCATCCAGGCTAAAGTAATAGTCACAGTCAGGATCCTTCCTGCACAAATCCCTGCAGGCAGAGAAAAGGAAAGTCACACCCTAAATCAGAGGAAGACAAAGGACAAAGCATCAAGAATTCCTTCACCTTGTAGTCTAAATGTCTTCTGGATGCTCAGAGAAGTTTGGTTTAATGTAACAACCCAGAGGGCCAGCATAGTACAAGCACATCAGATTCAGTATCCAATAACAGATACTGAGACACAGGCAAAATCACATTTAGCAAACTAAATGTTCCTTCAGCTCAAAATGAAGGTTTGTAAATAGGAATTGAGGTTCCTATTTACAGCTGGCCCAAATCCACAGCTGAGCTCAAACCTCCTGATCACACACAAGATACTCTCCTACTAGTTCTTAGTTTTGCCACAGCACTTCTCCTCTTCAGATATGGGTGCATACCCTTTGTGCTCTGTGTCTGGGTATATAGATGAGGGCAGGAGATACAGGGTTATCCTTCTGTCAGAGCAAAGGACCAGTGAGAACTTGGTTTCTGAAACTGACCAGTGAGAACTTGGTTTCTGAAACTGGACAAAGTGAGCTGGTATGGAAGCTGATTTTTTCCCCAATATATAAGGGCATCAGAGTTAATGCTAGAAAAACTGAAAGGGTGACTGAGAAAAGAAGAGCAGCCACTTGATAGGGATGATCCTCAGAACAAACTGATGTCTTAATTTGGACACAGGCTGTCTCTGCCAGCTGTCATGTATGGCCTCTTCACTTACATGCCCAGGTTACGTGCCTCAGCATTCTCCACCTCATCATCTGGCCCGATCACTTTGACAGCGAGATATTCTTTGCCATGCTCCTCTACAAAGGAGTCCACCTCCATCAAGTGATGTTCCTCCTATTCCAAAAGTAAGGAAAAACACTTAAGATGGGTTCATCCAGGCCACTCAGCCTCTTGCCTTCAAAATGAGTAGCTGGGCAACAGCCCTTAAGCCCATTTCCATACATTTACAGCTGGGTGGTGTCACTGCAGATAAGCATGCAATCTTGTGGGTGCTATTGCAGACAATAACTGTGATTAAACAGCCTGGAAGCCTAGCCCAAGGCTGCAAAAGTGCCTAGAGTAGAGGACAAGGTGTACATTTTCCCCACATTTTCTAAGACCATCACTTCACTTACATGGTTGTGAATGAAGAGCTGGATTCGCTGCTTTGGGTAATGGAGGTCACGAAGCCGCAAGAAGAACTGGGAGAGGAAAGGGGTGGGCTGCTCGATGAAAATGCCAATCAGAATCATTGGCAGTGCCTCATCCTGCATTCAGGGACAAGAGGAGAGCAGTGGTGGGTGATGTTCAATATCAGACACAGAACTGTAAGATTTGTTTTGAGAGTTTGGAATAAACACTGCAGCCTTACCTTAAACCCCGAAAGGCTCCGCAGACCCTCATCACACACCGTGCAGCCAGTCTCAAATGTCCAAATTTGAGGAATGTAGTTTCCCAGGTAGTTCAGCTGCAGCTGCAAAAGGAAGTTTGCCAGATTATGCATTAGAGGGCAGGAGAGTTTCTTTGTGTGCATCCTCACTGTGGGGTCATATTTGAACTTTGTTTACCTTCTCCATGAACTAAACAATCTGAAAATCCAACTACATGTGGGTCTTTGAACCAGATCCATCTTGCTGCTATGATATTATTATTATTATTATTATTATTATTATTATCATTATTATTATATTGTTTCTCAAATATAAATCTACACAGGGAAAGTCAGTCTATGTGGAGGCAATAACCTGATCCATTGAGCCTAAAGGGTCACTTTGCAACAAACACAGAACAAATCTTTCTCTCAGGACAGTCCACTTACCTTGGTGGGTCCATTTCCATGGATCACCACAGGCAGAGTGTCATATAACAAGTTTCTTGCTCTCACTCGTGCGTTTTCAAACTTCAGAACTATCTCATCTGGAAATGACATTACCATCATGTTAAGGCTTTTATTGATAATTAGAAGCACAATGCCTCATCTATACAGAAAAACTGCTGAAAAATGAGAGTGTGGACAATGGATAACCGTGCACAAGTAGTTTAAGGGCTGCAGAGAAAATCTTTAAAGGAGAAAAATTTTCAGAATGATTCTGTGAAGTAACAGGAGGACGTCTGGGAAGCTGGACAATGACTGGGAATTGCAGAAGCCATACTGAAAGGTTCTTTCAGAACTGGCAGTGAGGAGCAGCTACTGATGACAGGGACAGCAATTGATGGGAGGACTCAGGCCCTTCTCACCTAAGTGTTCTATGCACCTGATGTCTCTCTCTGTCACCCCTCACAAAAGTCCATTTGATCATTGAGGACGTTGAGGACGTTTCCTCAACACAACCATACAGAATCCTTTGGAAAAAGGACTAGCACAGACACAAGCTGCAGTCTGATATAATGAGCACAGGAGCCAAACACTACACTGCCATGATCACTTTTTACTTGACCAGAATAAAGATGAAATAGTGCAAGACTGAAAACATGAGGCAGCATTGATAGGAAAGTAAGTGAATGCCTCTTGCCAGGACTAGCAAAATCAATGAGCAGGTCAGGTCAGAAGCCTGGTACAGCCAGTGAGTGCTCACAGGCATATCTGGCTGCTTCTCACCTCCCCTGGCATTCCAGCATGGCTCTGAAGCAGAAAGGCAGGCAGCCCTAGGCACGCTCTGTGTTATTACTTGCACTGCAAGTCCCTCCCAGTTTCAATCCCCAAGGCTAATGCAATCCGACATGCCTGGAGATCAAAGGGGCTGCGAGGTGTGAGATGAAAAACCTGACCTGTATTCCCTCAAGTGGAGAAGGAATTGCAATGAGAACGTAGCTGGTCTCAATGGAATTGCAAACAAATCCCAGAACTCTGGCACAGACTTTTACTAAAGCTTTTTCTGTGGGGACAGCCATTTCTGAAATACAATCCCTTCAGCCACAACTTTATTTCTGGTGTCAACATGCAAATTGCATTCCAAGGAGAAATTAGCTCCTTCCTTCCATCTCACCTAATGCTCCATTTAGGTTTTGGAAGATCCGGCTTCTGTGGTCTAGAGTGATGTTGATACTTTCCTTTAAAAGAATTAGATAAACAACCTTAATTAGAACACAAAACCCTATGCTCATTGAAGATATATCCCATTCCTATAGTCATTTGTAAACTCTACAAACTCTGAAGCCTTGAACGTTGCCAGATAATCATAATTTTCATTCAAATCTGGGACAATTCACCATTTTCAAGAGCAAGTTAAATATATTCTATTAGGCAAAACTATGCAAACCCCCTCTCCCCCTTTTTTAAAGCTGTTGTGGGTGTGTCAATAAATCTGCATCATATGAATGAAGTAGACTTGCACACAGTCATATAAACCAGAATACAAAAAATACACAGGAATGCCAGACAGAAAAAAACATCTGCTGTGAAAAGTTTCTTGCCTTCCATCCACAGGGCAAGTGTGACCCCCAGGTACCAGTGTCAAACCAGAGGACAGTAAGGTGCAAGATCAGCTTGTGCAATCTTTGTTTTTATCCCCTGCTGGAAGTCACACTCTGATTGAGTGGGACTAAAATGCAGCTCTGACTTAACAGAATCCTGTGTCCCTGCAGGCATCTGTAAGACTGATTACTGGAAAGGACAGCAGGGTGCTAACATCCCCTGTCTGAGTGCCAAGTCAGGGGAATTACTCAGCCCTTGCATGGCACAGGGCCAGAACTGCAGATGAGAAGATTAAAGGGACTGCTCATGTGAAAGTATCACAGGCCATACTCAGATTTGGGGAACTAAAAAAGTTCTAAATTTTCTACCAGCTGTTCTAAATTTTCTACCAGCTTTGCTGGCAAAAAAATTCAAGTGTCTCTCTAGTCTGATAGCAGTTCCCTATTTCAAATGTTCCCTCTTGATTTAATTGCTGTTACAGTTTGAGTTCTCCAGGGACAGACTGGCCTCTGTAATGCCCAGCTGGGCAGGGACACCAGAACCAGAATGACCTGCATGGTCTGGCCAGTGCACCACACAGTGCTGGAATCACAATGCTGCTGCCAGGGTCCATTCCAGGCTTCTGTAGGATGTTATATGGCATTTTCTAAAATGTACTTCAGTGTGTCTAAGCCAGCACTGCACTTTGCAGTTTCACATCCTCTGGGAGGAGGCTGCTTAGTTCCTCCACACTCAATGGCTTTAAACACCAGCACCTACAGATAATGGTATGAACCTCCAGTAAGATTTGTTTTCAGACATCTCTCTTCCCATTCACATTTTATGCTTAAATATAAAAACTGCTAATAACAGAAAATGGGAGTACTGGCTAGAATGCAAATTTTCACAAACCCAGAATCTTGATACACCTACTCTTTTTTGTGGATCCAAGAAGATTTTTGTATAGAAGAGCTGGTCACTGTCATCATCCTCTCCTTTCCAGTCCTCCACAAGCTTCTTCAGGTTTGGAGCATAACCTATGAAGCCTGTGGGAATAAGAATGAGGAGGTGTTTCAACCCAGATGACCAAAAAATAGAAGTACTCCTGTATCCATGCACTTTCACTTCTCTCACATGAAATCTCACTACACCCTGTTGCTGCAGAGACTCATCAACTTTCAGTTTGCTTTGCCACTTCTCCCACAGAGGTCAAGCAGGAGGAGAAAGCTGAAAGCAAGCTCTGTGTCTCACCTCCAGAACCCAGGAAGCGCTTTCCATCTCGCACCTGAGGGTACTTGGCTTCCAGCTTTCTGTCAGGATAGATGTAATTCTCTGCTGAGAAAACCACCTTACTTTTGGCTTGTTTGAACTTCTTCAGCAGTTCTGTGGGGCCTGAAGCAAAGAGCACATCGTAGCTAGAGAGAGACAGACAAAAAAAGGACAAAAGGAAAGGAGTCAGAAAAACATGTCATTGAGAAAAGTTTCTAGAAGCTAATTCTTTGGGAATCCCTTTCTTTTAGTTCTGTTTAACAGTATTACATTTTTGGTAATGCAATTAATTAAAGTGTAGTTTTATTTGTATGCTGGGCACATGAAAAGACACTGAGACTCCAACCCATCCTTTTCTCTCTTTACCTCTCTGGAGACTAATTCTTGGCTCTCAGGATGTGCTGCAGCCTACTTCACCTTATAAAACAAATAACTCTGGTAAGAAAGGCCTGCCCAGTTCCAAAGGAATTGTCTGCTCATTCTCTGCAGATGGAGGCAGCCAAATTCCACTGTGGCAGAATCAGGTACAACACTATCAACTTCATGCAGGAATTGGCATCAGCCTGCTCAGATCAGCCCTTCCCAACTGCCACGGATGCAGCTCTGAGTAATTCCCAAGAAACCACAGAGAATTCAGGGAAAAAAAAAAACAAAACAAAACAAAAAAAAAAAAAAAAAAAAAACCAAAGATCTGGACACACTCTTCAAAAGCAATTGATTTCACAGCTCATTTCTTCTCAGTGAGAACCCATCCAAACCACTGTAAGATTCAGTTCATGGCAAATTCTTTGCAAACCATTACCTTTCCACAAAAAGGATGATCAAATCCTTCTTATCCCCATACTGCTTCAGAGCTGACTTGAGCAGACGAACCTTCTGCCCCCCTCCAGCTGGCTGCTGGTCATCTCCACCCTGCCACTCCTCATCCAGCCCCAGCACCTGCACAGCAACAGGCACAGGGTTACTGTAGTTATTGTATTTGCATTCCCCCTAGATGATAGAAGGAATGATGAATCTGACTCCATGTTCTCAGAAGGCTATTATTTTGTGGTACTATATTAAAGAGGATATTTATCAATTTATGGTACTATATTAAAGAGCTGGTCACTATATTATATGGTATTATATTAAAGAATGCTGAACTAAACTATACTAAAGAATACAGAAAGGATATTTAGAGAAGGCTAATTTATTATTTTATGATACTATATTATATTAAAGAATGCTATACTGAATTATACTAAAGAATACAGAAAGGATCCTTACAGAAGGCTAAAAAGATAATAATGAAAATTCGTGACTCTTCCCAGAGTCCCAACACAGATTGACCCAGATTGGCCAATAAATCAAAATAATTCACAGCAGAATCCAATAAAACAATCTCCAAACACATTCCAAAGCAGCAAAATACAGGAGAATCAAATGAGACAACAACTGTTTTGTTTTTCTCTGAGGCCTCTCAGCTTCCCAGGAGAAAAATCCTGGGAGAAGGGATTTTTCCAGAAAATGTGAATGCCACACAGGGTCACCTCAACAGGGCACTTTCCCAGCAAGGCTCACAGGAAAGAACCAGAACCCACAAACTTAGTGGTTCTGATAACTCCCAGTGCAAATCACAGCAAAAATAACAGCCCCAGGACAAATGGACTAGGTAGAGGCAGCTTTTGATCCAGTCTCTGGGCTGGACAATCTGTGTCACAAGGTAACACAAAGCACTCCTGGCCACAGGGACAGGAGCACACTCTGTACTGTGTGTCCTGGCAGTGCAATGCAAAAGGGCCATGAGCCTCCCTTGAGCAGGAGTTATGGATCTCTCCCCAAGCCAACACTCAGGACAATGCAGAAATGATCCAGTCACAGCACTTTTCAGCCAGCTGAGCAGATGTGTGTCCCCTTTTGAGCTTTTATTTCATCACTGTGGGGCCAAATCTGACCCATTCCACAATTTGAAATTCCCTTTGACCAACTGTCACCAACATTTCTCTTCACAGAGAAAAGCAAGGCACAACTCTTCCTGAGAATATTTCTGGGTTTCACATTCTCTGAACCTCAGAGAAAGGAAAAACAATTCTTATCATTTGCTATGCCAAAGTAGAATGCAAAATGGAGATTGTTTACCCAAAGTGATGGTGTTTTGTTTCCTTGGCCTATCAGGGTGTGTGTGTGTCAGGACTGTTGGCTGACAGTCACAAAATTCTGTACAGTTGTGTGGAGTTGAGTGCTTGGCAGATTCAGTTTAGATGTAATATAATAAAATGTGATACAGTATAGAATAATATAGTATAATAAAGTAATTAATTAGCCTTCTGATAAGATGGAGTCAGATGCATCTTCTCTCCCCCTTGTCAGGGGCAAAAAATATCTACTATATTCAAAAATCTCTTTCCTAGCCTAAGCCAGTCATTAATGGTAATCCTTAGTGCAAAGAAGCCTGATGTGGATCAGGGAAGGGTTTGTGTGGAGCCTGATGTGGATCAGGGCAGGGTTTTCAGGTGCTCCAGGTGCTGTGCTGCACTCCTGAACCCCTGGAAGTTGTGTGGAGTTAAGTACTTGGCAGATTCAGTTTAGATATAATACAATATAATGTAATATAGTATAGAATAATAAAGTAATTAATTAGCCTGATAAGATGGAGTCAGATGCATTATTCCTTCCTTTGTTGGGGATTTCCCTGCAAATTTGATAACTAACCCCCATGGAAGGTGCTAGAAATCACCTGGATTTTGTAGTTGAAGAATTGGGCTGATCTCCTGAAGCGTTGGAATCCCTCAGTCTGCTTGGTGGCCACAGTCAGAACCAGCAGGTTTTCTGCACACAGGGAAAAGCACAAGAGATACTCAATGTGTGTGGTTTTCACAACCTAACTTGACTGTGGGTATAAAATGAGAGATTTTGTAAAGATAAATTTCATTGCCTGAGTTCTGAGCTAAAAAAAAAGAAAATAAAATATATTTAGTGGGGTTTTTGCCCTGCTAGTGAAAGCTACAATTCTCTCACATAGAGTACAAAAGAAATTAAACTTGAAGATAAAAAATAGCACTACTACAAAATGCCCATCTGAAAGTCATCAATTTAATGCAGTTTTGACTTTCTGCTCCCCACAGAGCTGCTTTTTTGTCACTCAGCATTGCCTGGATGCAGGGAAAAGAAAAATTAGACTAAATGGTATTTTTCTCTCTCCATGGCTGCTTCAATTTTCTACTCCATTCCTGAGGCATTTTCCAGTTTTTCATACATATTCAATGTGAATTTAATTGTGCTATAATTTTAATTTACATTCTCCTCCCAAACTTGCTTTTCATTTCCAGTCCCTTAAAAATTATAAAACTTAATCCTGAAGTTCTCTTTCAGAAGTTTCTCTGTGATACCCTGGAATATGATTTTTACGTGGAAGTTCTGCTTTCCTCATTGCAATGATGAAATGTTATACTTCACAGTTTTGCTGAAGCAGGAATTTGTATAGGTTCTGGCAACAGAGCTTAAATGCCAATCCTGGCCATCCGTTTTAAACATCAGAAAATACCAGGAAAACTGAAAGGACATTTTCTTGGCCTCAGCAGGCACTTTTGGAACAATGATTTTTTTCAATGGATGCACCAGATGGATCTCCCTCATGTACCCAAACTGATATTCTGTTTAGTCTTAGAGAGGAAGGATCTAGAAGCTGGAGTTTTAGATGGACCTCACAAAGGCAACAAAAGTGAAAAATAAGTGTAAGACTCCAAGTCAGGAAGAAAGAAGATATCACCAAAGAAATTCCTGAAATCCTTTACCTGCATCAGAATAAAAAAGAGAAGAGAGATTGAGAACAATCAATAGGTGAGGTCTAATTGTATTTATTAGACAACCCTCAAATTCTAGTACATGAGGGGAGAAAGCATATGGTAATAGGAAGGGAAAAGGGAAGGGGAAGAAAAGGAAAGGGGAAAAGGAAAGGGGAAAAGGAAAGGGGAAAAGGAAAGGGGAAAAGGAAAGCAAAGGATCCTGACTGCTGTGCAATTATTTCAGCCCACAATCTCAGGCCTCTCACATTAAATAAATCACTGATTCATTTTCGTGCTGCCATCCCAAAGAAGCCACACGCTGTTTATGACTTGACTGCCAAAAGTTTGCTGGACAGGATGAGTGCTAAAGGCTCACACAGAACAGGAAGCGGTGTCCTGTTTCTACGACAGAAAAGTTCTCCCCATGCAGTTTGTGAGCTCAGAGGAGCACAAAAACCAGCACAAAGAGCACTCTCATCCACAGCAGAATGCCAAATTACAGATTCCTGTGGGGTAGGACACAGAGACACCAAGCTCAGTTTCTGTTCTAATAACTCTGTGCAGTAGCCAGAGCTTTCCATCCCAGGAGACATTCCTCCAGCCCAGCACTGGAAGTTTGTGCTATGTTGCCTCCAACTCCTTCTGCTTTAACTCTTTAGTCTCTTTCCCAAAGATTTTGCTGAACACTCATGCAGCTGATAGATACTTTAAAGGACAGAGCAGTAAACTCTCTCACTTTCAATATCACATGCAAACTTTCCAAAACTCCCTAAGCAGATGGATGCATCCCTGTTTCCCATATCACAGTCAGTTTCCACATGTAGAAAAGCAGCTTGTTCTGCTGAGCCAGGCTCCTGGGCCCAGAGGCTCCCTGGGCCACACTAACAACCAGGAATTGTATAAATACATTTAATAATCGCATGGCTGCAAAATACAAACACACAGTGGTTAACAAAGCAAGCACTGGACCCAGAACCAGGGGAGCTGGACTGTATTGCTGGTTCTGCTATTCAACAAGGAGCTAATCCAGCTATCCCTGTTTTTCCATCTGTAGAATGATAGAAGAGGACATTTATCTCTTTTGTGAAGGTTTTAGAGCTCTATAGATGAAAAGTAAGAACAAAGCACTGGATCAGGAACCTTAATACCAAGATCTCAATGAAATGATTCAGTAAACATCTGAGTTTTTTTAAAGAATGAAAATCAGAGACCAGATGAGTTCAGAAACAAAAAAAAAAAAGAAAATTATTTACTTCTGCCCTAAATCTACAGGGAATGCACAGCTGCAGCTGCATTTCAGGACAAGGAATGAATTTATCCTCAGGCTGTGATTTGGGAAATCTTACTGTGTCACTTCCTGTTAAGACAGTGTCTAAGAAAATAACATTAATATAGGGATCTAATAGAAAAAAAAAAGTGCACAATTTAAAATTGGGTAATATAATCTCTGTATTATATTTACAGAAAAATTTTTAAAAATTCTATCAACTACAAATAACTGTGTTGAGAGCTTTTGCACCGATATAAAAGAACATCCAGGAGAGAAGACAGGTATCATTATTCTCACTTTACTCTGGAGAAGCTGAGGCACAGGAAAGATGAGGCATTTTCTCTTTGAGCCATGCCAAAAGTGATGGTTCAGAAAACAGGTAATTCCAAATTCCTCTTCCTAACCAATTTACCTCATTCTCTTTCCCAGCCCTCAGTTTTATACCTCTAGTGCATTCTAAAACCTTCTTAAAACCATGGAAGATTTGGGATGGGCAAGGAAGGCAGGATAGCACAGAGATTCTTTGTTTTAATTATGCCACTATAGCCAAAGAACTTCCAACACCCCCATAGATGCACACTAACCGTATTAACTAATGTACATAGTTATACCAGAATCTCACTGTGAAGGGAAATATTACACACAACAAGACAAAATCTCCTCCTAATTGCCACTTCTCTAATGAAGACAGAGATAATTATCCAAACCTCTTGGCAGAGTGACAGTGAATGAACCACTCTGTCAGTGCAGCTGACATTCTGAAGCCGCCCTAATCCTGTGCTGTTCTACCAACCACTCTAGAGCTTCTACTGAATGTCTACAGAGGGGAGACACAGACTGATGCTATTTTAGGAGCATCCCTGATCTTGAGTCACAGCGTGGCCAGTCTGGAATCAAACGCTCTCTGGTAATCCAATTCTTGAACCACCTGAGCTCAAAACCACGGAGGGACTGACCCAGGTGGGATGAAGGACCGAGAGTCCCTCACGGGGCTGGAATGATGCTGTCTCACCACAGCCAGAAGCTCCAGGTGCTGCTCACGGTGCCACAGGCTCGGCTTGGGCAGCGCCGGGCAGCCAGGGCAGGAGGCAGCGGCCACAGCGGCACCGGGGCGGCTGTGCCCGTCCATCAGCCGGCTCCCGGTGCTGCCGGTATCCCCCGTGCTACCAATGCCCCCAGTGCTGCCAATCCCTCCCAGTGCTGCCGGTCCCCCCGTGCCCCGAGCAGCCCCCAGTGCTGCCAATCCCTCCCAGTGCTGCCGGTCCCCCCGTGCCCCGAGCAGCCCCCGGTGCTGCCAATCCCTCCCAGTGCTGCCGGTCCCCCCGTGCCCCGAGCATCCTCCCCGTGCTGCCGGTGCCCCCCCAGTGCTGCCAATCTCCCCCGCTGCTGCTGCCGGTGCCCCCCGTACCCCGAGCAGCCCCCAGTGCTGCCAGTCCCCCCCAGTGCTGCCGGTACCCCCCCAGTACCACCAATTCCCCCCATACTGCCAATTCCTCCCCCTGCTGCCGGTATCCCCCCGGTACTACCAGTACCCACCGTGCCCCGAGCAGCCCCCCGTGCTACCAATCCCCTCCCCGTGCTACCAATGCCCCCCAATGCTGCCGGTACCCCCCCCAGTGCTGCCAGCGCCCCCCGTACTACCGGCTCCCAGTGCTGCCAATCCCCCTCAGGCTGCCGGTAACCCCCAGTGCCCCCCAGTGCGGCCAATCTCCCCCGTGCTACCAATCCCCCTCAGTGCTACCAATCTTCCCGGTGCTGCCGGTGCCCCCCAGTGCTGCCAATCCCCCTCAGGCTGCCGGTACCCCCAGTGCTACCAATCCCCCTCAGTGCTGCCAATCCCCCCCAGTGCTACCAATCCCCCCCAGTGCTACCAATCCCCCCCAGTGCTACAAATCCCCCCCAGTGCTACCAATCCCCCTCAGTGCTGCCAATCCCCCTCAGTGCTACCAATCCCCCTCAGTGCTACCAATCTTCCCGGTGCTGCCGGTGCCCCCCAAATGCTGCCGGTGCCCCGAGCCCTCCCCGTACCTTCCTGCGGCGAGGCACGGCCGCCGCCCGGCCCGAGCAGCGCCAGCAGCGCCCCGAGCAGCAGCAGCGCGGCCGGAGGCACCATGGAGGCGGCTTCTCCCCCGCGCACGGACCGGGAGCGGTGCCCGCGGCACGGAGCGCGGCTGCCGGAGCGGTGCCACGCACCAGACCCGCCCGGGAGGAAGCGGGGAGGAGCCGGCTCCTCCTCCCGGGCAGCCCCCGCAGGAGGCGGGAGGGAGCCGGGGCAGGGCCGGGAGATCCTGGAAAGCGAGGGAACAGCGGGATGGGCTCGTGGGTTTGATCCTGGAGCTGCAGCGGATTAAAAATAATAATTTTTTAATCATAAAATACTTATTTTTCTACTTATTTATTCATAAAATAAGGCTTGTTTAATCATAAAATACGTAGTTTATTATTGGCTTTTTGCAAATATTAAAGTGAATATTATACGTGTTCTGTTAGAAAGTAATTGTCTATTAATTCTCTTCAGCAGTGTGTTAAATATAGTTTTAGTTTATAACAAAATGTTAAAATAGGAACTATGCTGTGTAGGATACTTTTTTTAAAGAAAGGACTTGCACCGAGATAGCCGCCACAGGACACCTAAATCTTTCAGAGAAAGAGAATTTATTGCTCCATTATCAGAAGAAATGAACTTCTTCCTGCCTCGCTCAGTCCTGAAGATGCTGTCAGGATTATGAGGAAGAAGTTGACACTGCCCAGACAGAATCCTGTGTTTGAATGGGATTTATGCATCATGTATGAGGTGTATGAATATGCAATAGGCTGTTGCTTTCAAGGGTTAATCCTCTGTTAACGTGGGTCCTTTTTCGGGCTTATTTTGACCAGAAAGAGGTACCCAGACTGTCCATAACTCTTTGACTCTATTGTCTCATATTGTCATAATTCAATTTGTCCAAATTATTATTACTCTAATGATATAACTATTTTTATAACCATTTTATTACTATTAAACTTTTAAAATTTAAAACCCAAGTGATTGGTGTTTTTCACACCAGGGGTGTGGGATCCTATGGGGCCGGGCAGCGGGCAGTGGATGAGCAGAGGGACAAACAGACATTGAGCTGTGGAAACCCAGAGCACTGGGAATATTTCTCTGTCTGTTCTGCGGTGCCCTGACCCCCAGAGGAGCACTGACTTTGACCCTCATTCATAGAAAAAGTTTCCCAGACTTCAAGATTCATTCTGCCCCTGAGAATAAACAAAATATTCCTGTCTTAATAAGTTAAACATCTTAAAATTAACATTTGCTTTATGGTCACTTCTGTACTGCAGTGAATGTAAGGTTTAGATGTAGGGAAACCCTTCTGAGCCTGCAGGATGAGTTACCACTGACACAGATCCTATGTGAGGCCTGTCAGGAAATCATCTCTAAATCAACAGAAATCACAGATATAACAGGGTTCAGGTTAAAAACAAACACAAAACAAGAAGGTATGAGGAAAAAAATCAAGCACATTGGAAGGGTTACACTGTAGCTAACAGAAATTCTCCATGATCCCTCACAGCATCATCCCAAAGAATTCCCATTACTGTTTGTTTGTTCACTGAGAATATTCTTGAGTGTGTTCAAAGCAGTTCCTTCCATTCCTTCTCCCCAGTGCAGGAATTCCCTCATAATTACCAGGCAAACAGAACAGCTGCCATGGTGAGGCCATGAGCATTCCAGGCAACAACCCTAGTTCTCGCTAAGATGATGATTTCAGAAAACTTCCTTTGCAAAGCTGCCAGTTTCCCTAAATCAAAAAACTAAAAAGAACATACTTTCACTTTAGATTTCTTCAGAACTTTGCAGGCTCAGACAAAGCCCATGATAAATCTGTAGGAGCTTCAACAGTTTAAGGCAGGAGCCACAGCATAGATGTTCCCTCCTCCACCTTCAGACCTCAGACTGAGATCTACAACTCAACATGGATTTTTAAAACTGCAAGTTTCTCATTTTAATGAAGTTAAATCTCTCCAGTCTAAAACGAAAGCGGTTTTGCACACTCCAAACCATGAATGCCTCATTGTTTATGCTGCTGTACCCTGGCTGTCTCTGTTTGACAGCTTTGTATTCTGCAGCTATGCCAGCCCAGCAAGCACATTTACCCCTCTTTGTGTGTTTGTGCTGCTCTGTGTGAAAAATGCCAATCACTTGGTTTTTAAAATTTTAAAAGTTGAATAGTAATAAAATGGTTATAAAAATAGTAATATGAGTAATAATAATTTGGACAATTTGGATTAGGATGAGACAATAAAAACAAAGAGTTATGGACAGTCTGGGTACCTCTTTCTGGGCAAAATAAGCCCAAAAAAAGACCCACGTTAACAGAGGATTAACTCTTAAAAGCAACAGCCTGTTGCATATTCATACACCTCATACATGATGCATAAATTCCATTCAAACACAGGATTCTGTCTGGGCAGTGTCAGCTTCTTCCTCTGAATCCTAACGGTGTCGTCCTGCCTGAGTGAGGCAGGGAGAAGTTCATTTCTCCTGATAATGGAGCAATAAATTCTCTTTCTCTGAAAGATTCAGGTGTCCTGTGGCTGCTATCTCACTGTGAGTTCTTTCTTTAAAAGAAGTATCTTACATAGCATAATTTCTACTTTAACATTTTGTTATAACCCAAACTGTATCTAACACACTACTTAAGAGAATTAACACAGCATCACTTTCTAACACAACACATACGACATTCATTTGAATATTTGCAAAAAGCCAATCATAAAACCCGCATTTTTCACATCTGTGTGCTGGCTGCAGCCTGCTGCCTGTCTTTTTAAGCAGAGCCAGCTGCCAATGCAGATGTTCCAGTGAGTACGTGCAACACGTGCTCCAGGGGGAGCAGCAGCTTCCTGAAAGCTGGAAGGGCCAGAGCTCTGCTCTTACAGCAGCCTCAAAGCTGACACCAGCCTATTTTGGTTTTTTTAAGTTCTTCTAAGCCTTCTGATGTTTACATTTTATATATTATATATTTATATGTTATGTATTACATTTTATTTATAATTATATATTTTTATATTTATATATTTCTGCAAATACTTATTATTTTGCATTCTTTTCTGGAGGAAGAGGAATTTGATGGACTGTTGGTTTGTCCAGTGTCATTGGAGAGGTGGCACTGTCACCCTCCAATCCACTGCCACTTTTCAAAATCTGTAAATGTTAGTCAGAAATTAAACATCCTTCTTTTTACCTTGGAGATTCCAGTGTCTGTGTTGTTTTGTGTCCTAAAGTGACACCAGCCCATTGAAACCTGCAGTGAATGTGGTTGCATCCATTGTTTAGGATTCCAGTGCTCTCCCCACCCACCCCCCAAACAGCTCATTTGCAGGAAGAAATCTAGAACGTGTCTCCTCTGTTTCCCTTTTGTGAGCTGGTTCATTGCCTCAAGCTGGTTGAGAATTTCACATTTCACTTCACCTCACAGTGTTTCTGCCTGACTTTCTTGAAACTCGTTTAGTCTTTCGAGCACTGCTCTGGATACAAAGCTTTCCTGTGCACATCTAAGACACCTGAGAAAGTTTGTTCCTCTATTTCCGACACAGTGGGACAGAGTTTGACAGAAAAAAACTTTCTTTCCTGCATAGTCTGTGGTGGCAAGCCACTAAACTGCCACGGGAATCACGGAAAACCCCGCCAGGCCTTTTCGATCGGTGCAGTGACCCGGGGAGGAGACAGAGAACCTCAGCCCTGGGCTGCAGCTGCCCGAGGGCACCCACGGACACCGCAGAGGGAGCTTGACAGGGGTGCCGGGGGGATCCTGGTGCCGGGGATCCGGAGCTGAGGGGGCTCGGAGCCGAGAGGGGTCCCGGTAACGGGAGGGGCCGGGAGCCGGCGGGGCCCGGAGGAAGGGGGGACCTGGAGCCGGGGCCAGTTAGAAACCGGGAGCTGGGAACCCGGGGGTTGGAAGCCGAGGGTTTAGCAGACGGGGTTCTCGGCGGTTCCGGGCTTTGGCAGCCGGGATCCCGGCAGGTCCGGGGGTTTCCAGCCGGGGCTCCCGGCGGTTCCGGGGCCGTTCGCAGTCCGGGTTCCCCTCGGTTCCGGGGCCGTTCTCAGCCGGGATTCCCGGCGGTTCCGGGGCGGTTCCGGGGCCGTTCTCAGCCGGGATCCCGGCAGTTCCGGGGTTCCCAGCGGTTCCGGGGCCGTTCCGGGGCCGGGCCGCGTCTCCCGGCCAAGCGCCCCCTGAGGGCCGGAGGGCGCGGCTGTCGCAAAGCGCCGCCAAGCGCCGCCAATCGCTGCCTGTGGCGCGGCGGCCATGGCGGCCTAGGGCCGGTGCGGCGGGGCCGGGGCCGGGACGGGCTGGGCCGGGGCTCCCCCGCCGCCGCCGCCCATGTGGCTGCAGCAGCGGCTGAAGGGGCTGCCGGGGCTGCTGTCCAGCAGCTGGGCGCGGCGCCTGCTGCTGCTGCTGGTGCTGCTGCTCGTCGCCTACTGGTACCTGGGCGCGGCGCGGGCGCGGGGCGCGGGGCGCGGGGCCGAGCCCTGGGGCCCCGCCGCGCTCTGCCTGCAGAAGGCCTCGGGCGCCTGGCGGGAGCAGACCCAGCGCGGCGATGCGCTGCCGCTGCCTGAGGAGGCGGCCGGCGCCGGCGAGCCCCCGGGGCTGGCGGTGGCCGGGAACGGGTTCCTGCTGCTGGACGTGTCGGCGGGGCGGCTCTGGGTGCGGCCCGCGGGGCCCGCTGCGGGCCCGCCGCTCGCCACCGAGTACCCGGCGCTGGTGCGGCTGAGGGCGCTGGGCGGGCGCGGCGAGGCGCGGGCGGCGCTGGCGGCGCTGCGGGACGGGGCCGTGCGGAGGTTGCGGTGCGTGCAGACCGGGCCCGGCTCCGGGGACTGCGTGACGGTGCGGGAGGAGGTGGTGGCGCACCGGAGCCGGCCGCACCTCTACCTGCAGCGCATCCGCATCGCCAACCCCACCGCGCGGGTGGCCGCCTTCGAGGCCTCGGCTCCCGCCGCCGCCTCCGTGCCGGGCGGGCGCTTCACCACCAGCCTGGAGAAGGTGGAGGAGCGGCAGTTCCTGCTCTCCTCCGGCCGCCTGCTGCTGGCCGGCAGCCCCAAGGTGGTGCTGGTGGTGGTGGCTGCCAAGAAACTCGTGAGCCGGGTGCAGGTCGCGCCCGAGTCGCACTTTGACGAGACCCTGCTGTCCGTGGTGTACACGTCGGAGCCCATCGAGGTGTCCAGGCTGGAGGAGACCTTCAGCAAGCTGAGGGAGGCGGCCAAGAAAGAGATGCTGGAGGTGATGCAGATGGGGGTGGAAGATCTTTTCCAGGAGCACCAGCAGACCTGGTCTGACTTGTTCATTTCAGGTAAGGAAAGTGATGCTCGGCTTCCATGGGGTTGCTTTAGAGAGTGTCTGAAAGCTCCTGGTTGCTGTAAGGTCTCCAGGCTCTGGCCTTTCTGATGGGCTGTGGGATAGTAAAACAATATTTCTGGTTTGGAACCCAGCTTATCTTGAACTGGAGTACACCTGACCAGATATAGAAAGTGATAAAAGAACATTTATAATCATTATTCTGTGTGTGCTGCTTTTCACGGCTTCAGGAACTTAACTGATTTGCCTGAATGTCAGTTGGGAATAAAGTGACCTTTAGTGATAGCATAAAAGGCAGATTCTGCATGGAGGTCAAGAGCCATTCTACAAAGATGCTTTTTCTTAAGATTTTAATGTCTTACATAGAAGAGTAGCTGACCAAATAACGTAGAACTTGTTATTTTATAAAAAAATTTTGTTCTTTTGACAGATCATTCTTGCAGAGTCATGATGACAGGCCTGTAAGGCATCTGTATATTAAATTAGCTTTGTCTTTAGTGGGAGCTTGGCTCTCAAACTGCCGAGTAGCAGAGAGAGTATCTTAGACAAACACAAGGAAACATTTCACTTTTGGTACTATAGGACACGAAACAACATGAGTGCACACACTGCTGCTCTCAAGGTGAAGAAGAAGGGAAGTTTATTTTCTGACTCTAACATTTATAGTTTTATAAAAGTGACAGTGGATTGGAGGGTGACAGGGCCACCTCTCCAATGACACTGGACAAACCAACAGTCCATCAAATTTCTCTTCCTCTATAAAAGAATGCAAAACAATGAGTTATGTACATAAAGTGTGTGAGAAAGTTTGTTACGAGAATGTAAACATCAGAAGGCTTAGAAAATCTTGAAAAATCAATGTGACACACTTTGGTGTTTTATGGATAAAGAACACCATGTTGAACATCAGTGTGCATGTTTGATGTTCTTTTCCTCCTAGTTAATTCCTGATTATTGGTTGCTTTCTTTTGCTGCAGGGATTGAAATGAGGAAGATCACAGATGCACACACCCCATCCAGTGAGACTGTCAACATGACCCTCTACTACGTGCTGTCAACTGTGCCAGCCCCCCTGCTGGATCCTCTCCTTGCTGGTGAGGACAGGGAGAGGATTGAGGCCAGCCTGAACTACGCTGACCACTGCTTCAGTGGCCACGCCACCATGCACGCCCAGAACCTGTGGCCACCCAGGCTGACCAGTGTCACCCAGATCCTGCAGCTCTCAGACCTGTGGAAGCTGACTCTCCAAAAACGGGGCTGCAAGGGCCTTGTGGCAGCCGGAGTGCACGGGCTGATGCAGGGAATGGTGCTCAGCTTTGGGGGTCTGCAGTTCACAGAAAACCACCTTCAGTTCCAGGCTGACCCCGACGTGCTCCATAACAGCTACTCCTTACGTGGCATCCATTACAACAAGGACTTGATCAGTTTAGCTGTTCTCCTGGATGCTGAAGGAAAGCCCTTCTTGCATGTGTCTGTGAAGTTCCAGGAGAAGCCTGTCAGACTGTATGCCTGTGAGGCAGGCTGTATGAACGAGCCCGTGGAGCTCACCTCAGAGGCACGAGGCCACACCTTCCCTGTCATGGTGACCCAACCCATCACACCACTGCTTTATATCTCGACAGATCTGGTCCACTTGCAGGACCTGAGACACACACTCCACCTAAAAGCTATTCTAGCTCATGAGGAGCACATGGCCAAGCAATACCCAGGCTTACCCTTCCTGTTCTGGTTCAGTGTGGCCTCCTTAATTACTTTGTTTCATTTGTTTCTGTTCAAACTCATCTACAACGAGTATTGTGGGCCAGGAGCCAAGCCCCTCTTCAGGAGTAAGGTATAAAACTGCTGCTTTTGGCTGCTGTCCACTGAGTGTTGTCAGCCTGATGTTGTGTCAGCTGTGCCTGGGCAGGCTCTCTCTTGGACTGTGAGGATTTTCAGTCTCTCTTGAAACAAGCAATCTGTGACCTCTTGCAAGGAGGATTAGGGCAGGGATTGGAGCAGTAGGGCTCAGAATCGTTAGAAAAGATAAAAGATAAACTCATCATCTGTCCTTAGACATTTGTGAGGCTGCAGGTGGAGGCAGACACAGCTTTCTGTCCTTTTCCCACACATCAGTGTAGGACATGGCTTGTTTCTAGGCCAGCAGTTGCCATGAGATGATTCTTGTTATCCAGAAAGCACATGAGAGAGCTGCTGTACTTGTCTGTACTGCTGTGTGGAGACCTGCAGACCTGCCTGCTGCTCTGAATGTGTGAGGTGTCCACAACAGGACCCAAAGGCAGGCTGGTGTTGGAGGTGAAGCTGCTGACTTGCTGAGACCCGTGGTAGGTGTTCATATTAGAGACACTGTGCAGCCCTCCATCACACCACACTTACCACCAACATTTTGGGAGGATGCTGAATTGGTGTTTCTCCCAGTCAGACAAAATGCAAAGCTGTGTTAAGGAAAATACTGAGTGCTTTTTACTGTGAGTTGAAGGTTTTGGCTCCAAGCTCTGGAGCCAGAGCTCCAAGCTGATCTTACCTGGGTGTAAAGAATTTCAAGTTGTTCTGAGTTGCCTTGGAAAACTTATTTGCTGTAAAAACTTAGCACAGAATAGACAGTAGATGGTGAGTTCTGCTCTTAGTACTGGGAATTTCTGATTGTGTGTTGATATGAAGTGGAAAGGGTAGACCAGGCTGGATTTGCTGTGTGAGCTAGTTGTGCTGTTCAGAGGCTTCCCTTCTGAGGGCTGAACTGAGTTAAATGTAGGTTTCATTTAGGTAAAAAGGAGATGATAGTTAAACAGCTGTCAGAGGAAAAGTTCCAGCTGTAGAATTGTACTGTTATTCCAAATTATAAAATCAAATTCGATTTTGGATAGCTAAGGCTGAACAAAAGGCATTGAACTGAACCTGACAGCTGGTATGTAAGGGGTCTTTAAAGTGAGCTGGAAGTTTCCCTGTCAGCTCACTGGTTTTGTCATTTTGAGCACTGGAGTTCAAGCCTGATCCCAAGCAGGTCTGAATGCTTTTGATCCAATAAAAGATTGAGTGGGAGGTGCTTGTAGCCAGACAAACTGACCTAGGAAGGGGTAGGATAGAAATGTAAATCAGACAAGTGCAGTTAGAAGCCTCTGATCATGATCAGCACCTCAGTGCAAAGGGAGGAAGGGGTTAGGAGGTGGTGTCAGTTATTGTGTAACACCCCTGAAATGTGTCCTTGGAATTATGTAATTGTGTCCTTTCACTGTTGTCTATCCAGTTGCCTTTGTCATCTCCAAGATTTGCCTTCTGCCTTTACCAGTGCCCTGTTAACCCTTGCTGCAGGTGGCTGTCCCCGACTCTGCCCGCTGAAGTGCCCAGAGGCTGCACAGCCACAGCAGGGCTGACCTGGCTCCTCATCCTCCTGGGCACTGCAGAGCACACAGCTCTGCTGCCTCCTCTCAGCTGGACCTACTTCAAATGAAGGTGATGCAGAACTTCATTCCAGAGACAGGGAAGAGGTGGAAAGCAGCTGGAGCTCAGAATCTGTAGCAGTAAGCAAGGTAGATGGTCTTGAAATAACACCCTTGAATGGGAGCATCCCCTTGTCCAAGTGAACTTAGCCCTGCTTTCAGCCTCCATTTGCACAACACACCTGGCAATACTGCAGCTGAGAACAAGGAGCATTTATTTGAAAGCAACAATCCTTCTGTGCCTTGCTATTACAGGAATCTGAGACTTGGAAGGTGTGGTGATTCAACTGTTTATCCCAGAAGCTTGTGTAACAGATGTGTCCTTTCCCTGTAAGCTGTTCAGTTCCCTAGGAGTAATCTATTTGGTGAAAATACTTGAAGATATACTAAGACCTTGGATATTTTGATCTGTTTGGTTTTGGTTTTTTTTATTTCTACAGAAAAAAATAAAGGATAATGATTCCCTTCTGAGAGTTAACTAGAAAACTTTAGTGTAACTTCCTTTCTGGTACACAGTTTGTAATTTATTGCTTGGGAGGAGGGGGAGTATGTTCATTTTTCCTCCACTTCAGTAACAGTCAATTGAACTGTCAATATCTAACAGTCTTAACTGTCAATAAGTTCTGGTAACAGGTTTTTCAGCCTTTATGACTGTAGAGTGCAAAATCAATTTAATGAAATTGTTTTCTGGATATGCACTTGGAAATGCTGACCTACAGGTTTCCTATTCTAAGCCTATTGAGACTTTGTGCATTGATTTGTTTTGGCTATGGGGGAAGACACCCCACTTTCTAGTGACTTACAGGTTGTTTGGTTTTAAAATACCAAAGCTGTTGTTTCTAAATAAATATCTTTCAGTCTAATCTGACTGCTCAAGTGTGGTTGGGGTTTTTGTTGGGTTTGTGTCTGTTCTCTCCTGCTGTTGCTCCCCACCCAGCTGAGATAAGCAGGGCCTTATGTTACATCTGTGGCCAGTACTGACTGCAAATACAGTGTGGAAAATAATATATAAATGGATATAAGACAATTTGGAAGGCACAACAAGTGGCAAAAACACGCAAGGTAAAGCTCATCTCCATTTTCTTGCTCATTATAACCTTGTTCTGTCCTGAGGAATGAAGGCCAAGCTTTATTTTGAAGAACACAGAAACAATCCCAGAGAACCATCAAGCAGCAGATTTAACAGCCACCCAGCAAATAATATATTTGGCACAGTTGGTGGTCCCAAGATAAAACTGGGTCAGGATTTAACTTCAGATTTTCAGAGGGGTTACTGTCTGGTTGCAGATGAAAAACATCCCTCAGGAAAGCAGATTTCAATGTCTTAAGTTTTCTGCAGAAAATTCAATTTACAAATTAGTACAGCAGAGTTACTGCCCTTCAAGGGAATAAAGATAAGGAAGCAACAGAGTTCATTTAAGTTGTACACAGGTACATTGTGTATTGAGGGAGATATTTTCTATTTGCTTTAACAGAACATACCAGAATCTCCTCTTTCTCACCAGAGTTCCATGAGCTGCTTAGTTTCTGTGAGATATCTGGCATGAAGATGATAAGAGCTTCCAGGGGGCTCTTTCCAAGCCAACATGGTATCAGCTGGAGGCTGAGCCATTTTGATATTTCCTGGCAGAATTGCCAGCAGCCTGACACCCATGGAGCCCAAGGAAAACTGTTCAGGCCTGGAAAAGATGGATAAAGCATGAACAGAACAAAAAACAAAACACAAAACAGCTTTGAGAGTGTCTAATATTAAATATATTAGGATTCCTGTGAGAATTTCCTCCATAACAAAAGAAGTGTTTCAGAATTCCTCCATGAAGAAAGGGGAAAAGAAACAGCATTTCTCTATTTACAGCATGCAAGAGAGCACAAAGTTATATTTGTTTACATTAAATATATTATGATTCCTGAGAGAATTTCCTCCATAACAAAAGAAGTGTTTCAGAATTCCTCCATGAAGAAGAGGAAAAAGAAACAGCATTTCTCTATTTACACTATGCAAGAGAGCAGATTATATTTGTGAAATGCAGAAATGCTTAAAGAACTAAACAAAATTCCACATTTACAAGCACACAACAAACAAAGCAAGTTAAAATAGTAACTGACCATCTGAAATTTATACTTTTAGTTGGAATTCATGAAAATGACAGTGACATGGAAGTTAAACTGAGCACATAATGTAGTTTAGCTTGTAAATTCAAACACTAAGAGCCAACAAATGAATGGAAAAAAATTTCGTATCTCAATTCTGCACTGTTAATCCTGGTTTCTGCTTTTGTCAGATAATAAATACAAGATGCCAGAACAGGGTTTGGTTGATGCAATTTGCAATTCAAAATGCAGCTTCCTCAAGTGCTATTGTCTGGTTAGGAAAATACATTCTTGAGAAGCAGATAAAACAGCAAAGCATTCTATGTTCCTGCCTTCCACATGTGTGCTCCAGGCATCTTTCATCCAGCACAGTATCTACTGCTGAATGGAAGCTCTGGAAATCAGGTTTTATGCTGCTTATTAATCCTGACATTAAACATTAGATTTATTTCAGCATTTTTGAATCCCTTGTTTGGTGTCTGTGTGCAACACAACTCTGGTTGTGAAACTGGCATTATGATACTTGTTTCCATTCTAGTAAGTTGGTTTTCTATGAGTGTCCTGGTTTATGGGATGGAATTTTTTTTCCAAATAACCAATTTTTTTTCCAAATTTATATAATACAAAAATTGTATTATATCAATTTATCTAATCATTCTAAATCCATTCACAAAAGCATTCAAAAATTAAAGAATCTAACATCCCAAATTAAAAAAAATAAAGGTTCCTAGTTAAATGATTTATTTCATAATTAGAATTTTACACCTTAACTAAAACAACTTTACAAAATAAGTCTTTACGTATTAGGTGTTCTAATACTAATATTAATAGTAATACCTTATATACTCTGTTATATTCAACAAATAATGAACAAAACAGTCCAAAAAGTTTTTATCATTCAAGTAAAAAAATTTAAAAATAAAACCACAAAGAGTACACAAAATCTCACAAAAACAGTAAATAAATGTTAAAATCCATAAGGTTAAAGAATTTTTTAAAAATAATTTTAAAAAAGTATGTAAACCTTAAATTAAAGTTTTATTAACATTACAGAAAAATTTCCCATACAAGCAGAAAAGTTTCCCATACAAACAAAAATTTTCCCAAACAATAAATGTAACAAACAACAATAAACCTCTATAAAATTAACTTTAAAATAACAACAAAGTTATTTAATGTATATCTTCAAAAAATTAATATAAATAAAACTCTGTTCTTTGTCTCTTATAAACTAATCTTTGTTTTAACTACCATTACATATATTTTATAAGATTAAATAAAATACTTGTCAATATGTGTTTTCTGTGTGTAATTAACTGAAAATGTAAACTAAAATAATTTTATGTATTACTGTATGAACCCTCCTAAAAGAAACATTTTAGAGAATGGTTGGTGGATGTAAAGGTAACAGAGGATGGAAAATTCCTGTAGTAGAAGTAAAAAGAAATAGCAAAAAGAAAAAAGGGACAAGGGAAAGCATTGATATCTAGTCACTGATCTCAAATGTCAGTAATGAATTAGGACAGTTCTTTTTGTGGCAGCATCTCTGGAGTGGTGTAAATGCTGCTCTTGCCTGTTTTGTCATTTGTGGGTAGAAGTGTTTTGCTCTTCTCATT